TTTGGCTCTCCGGGGTTTGCTCTTTTCTCCAGAAAAGAGCACAGCCATGGCATTCACGAGAAAGCAAATGACCAAGTATCCGCTCCTCCTAGTTGGCCGGCCACTGACCTATGTGCGGTCTCTGCCATTTCTTGGAATAGTCATCGACAGATGTCTTTCCTGGTCTCCTCAGGTGAAGAAACTTCGAGCGCGGATAGCTGTAGCATCACAACTCTTCAAATTCATGGCGGGAACACGATGGGGATGCAAGTGCCGATCAATGGTATTGCTTGAGAGAGTGTATACTGAAGGAACCTTGCGTTATTGCCTACCGGTGCTTCACCGATTATCACCAACAAACAAGAGAACCTTGGAGGTCGCACGAAACAATCGCCTACGAATCTGTCTAGGCCTTCCGAAGAGCTCATAAGGCTCAAGAACTGTAGCGGAAGCAGGATGTTTTCCACTAGATGTCATCTGCACTCGAGAAATATTGCGCACTCTTTTCCGCCATGTCATACACGGGAAGAATGATTTTTTGTACCGCATACATCTCACCCACAGCAATTCAGCATTCGACCAAGCTATGCAAACGAAGCAGCTTACTGCTATGAGACAGCCGAAGAAGTTGATGCCTCCAAGATTTCCTCCATGGACGCTTTGACCTCTTGATATTAAACAGTGTGTCCCAGGAATCAACGAAGCGAAATGACGTAATGCACAGACCGCACTGCTGCAGACAAGTCTCTTTTACTTAGCCCAGCATTACACTCAGCCTTCTCATATTTATACTGACGCCTCAACTACTAAGGAGATCTCGTCATATGGCCTCTATGTTTCCTCTACAGGACAAAGTCTATCCTATCGGCTACAACGCAGGACATCAATGACAGCAGAACATTATGGAATTAAGGAAGCAGTCCTCTACATCCTGCGTGAAACGCTGAACTGATGGGTGATCTTCACCGACTCTACGGGAGCTCTACAAATACTATTCAGTGTCTTAAAGAAAAAAAAATTATCACCCAATTTTATTTGATATAGCACACTCACACCACTTGGCTATTAGCTCGGGTCACGCTATCACATTTCAATGGATACCGGCTCATTGCGGTATACTGGCCAATGGAAAAGCAGATGAAGCGGCCCGCAAAGAACTTCAAAAGCAACATTACAGGCGAACCTATTTCACTAAATCAGATGCTTCCCATCTGGCTAAAACGCTTGCTTTCGAAGAAAACAAAAGGCTATGAAACCTCCCGACACATCAGTATGCTTTCCTCCACTCTATCGACCTACATCTAAAGACTACACTCCCATCCCGAATCCCTCGACACCTGAAAACTCTCTACCACCGGCTCCTGCTCTACAGTGCTTAAGGAAACAATTTACGGTATCGCTTCGGTCAAGTAGACAGTCTATACTGCAATAACTGTGGCTCCATAGGAACTGTAAAACATACCTTCTTTGAGTGCCGAGCGTATGTCAATGAGCGTATGCTCTATGAACACTGCATGCATATGTTAACCCAAGAAACTCTATCAGTTGATTGTGTCCTGGGCCCTTTCCTCAGCTTCACGCGACAGAGGCAAGCGATGAAAATTTTATTCACGCATTTAGACAATATCGGTCAGCTAGACAAACTGTAGGGGTGCCCTGAAAACTGAACTCATGCTGTCAGCACACGTCCCCGCCCAAGAGACAGAAAAGTGTCTGTCTATTTACTTTTTTTTCCACTTTAATTTTTAAAATTTTTTTTCTCTCTTCGGCCTTTCAGTCCCCAATCCTTTTCTCCACGCAGAGTAGGAAGTCAGCGACACACACACGCCAGCTAAATTCTCTGCTTTTCAATAAAGAGCCCTCTCTCTCTCTTTATCGTTGCATGCAAGTAAACACTTCCGAACGAGCGTCACTAAACTTTATAGTAATATTTTATCACGTTAATTTTACATGAAAAACCGCTATCCTCCTGACTATAAGCTATATATTTGTGATAAAGAGTTTAAGCACAGTGATGTCTCTTCTCATAGACGCACATGTATCTTGAATTCAAGAGTGGTGGTATGGATTACTGTGAATGAATACGCAGGTAAATTTTGTGCCTGCCGTGTTTAGCACCCCAGTATGACGTTGAATGATCGAGATTTCTAACGTTTTTTTTTCCTTTTCTAGCGTTCGTGTCTGTCCACCTAACGTTTTGGCTAACGTTAACTTCCAGGAATAGTCATAGTTCAAATGGGCCTTTTTTGCAAGTGTTTGCTTTGTCTGTATGTGTTTTGTTATGCTCGTCCTTGCACGTCTTACACCAACAATGATGAACTTAACTCTTTATCAGCGCTTATGAGAGTCTAGGTAGGGATGTTAATATGTATAGGAGATATTGTTCTCTTAATATCAACCCTTTTGCTTCTCTCGGTAACATTTTTATTAGTTCTCGTTAATAATGTTACGAGTAACTTATTTAATAATCTATTTACAACGCACAGAACTTGACGAGCAAGATGGCACCAGTCAAGCATCAAACGAAAACTCAGTATGTCTTTCTCTTTCATGCAGCCGCGTTTAGTGGCTGTTATGTATCATAACCCCCGGCGGTAGAAGCACAGTCCCGGTGCTAAATATACGCAGAGGATGTCGAAGAGGGGTAATACGGCTTTAGCTGAGCCGCGTGAACTGTGTCGCTTGGAGCTGACGTTGACTTTGTTGGATCGGTTGGAACGATCTCGTACGCGACGTCTGTCACTTGGCGAACAATACAGAATGGTCCAGTGTAGGGCAACAACAGTTTTTCAGACAGTCCCACACGCTGAGTTAGTGACCAGAGGAGCTCGAGAGAACGTAATGAAAAGTGGACGTCCCTACGGGGAGAATGGTAGAGCTGTTGTTGGTGCGCCTGTGAAGCCTGTAGATGGTTACGTGTGACTTAGCGCGCGTAGACGGCGCGGGCGATGGCTACCTCGGCATATTCAGTGGCCGCAGGTAGCAAAGTGTCTAAGGGTGGAGTTGGGTCCCGGCGATATAGGAGATAGAATGGCGAATAGCCGGCAGTGTTGAGACGGGATGAATTGTAGGCGAACGTCACATACGGCAAATGAATGTCCCAATCCTGGTGGTCTGGCGCAAAGCATTTGGCAAGCATATCGATTAGGGTCCTGTTGAGGCGCTCCGTGAGGCATTTGACTGGGGATGGCACGAAGTAGTAAATTTGTGCTTGGTATGGCAAGACCTCAGGATTTCATTCACGACAGTTGGTAAGAACGTGCGGCCACGGTCGGTGAGAAGTTGGCAGGGAGCACCGTGCCCTAATATTATGTCGTACAGCAGAAAGTCCGCAACGTCGGTAGTGCAACTAGTCGGGAGTGCTCGTGTGATTGCGTACCACGTTGCGTAGTCTGCGGCAACAGCAATCCGTTTATTTTCGGCCGTGGAGAGTGGAAAAGGGCCCAACAGGTCGAGACCAACTGGAAAGAATGGTTCAGTGGGAACGTCGATCGGCTGAAGGTAGCCAACCGAGAGGGCAGGCGGCGTTTTGCGACGCTGACAGGGCTCACAAGCAGCGACATAGCGTCGAACAGAGTGGGCAAGTCCAGGCCAAAAAAACTGACGTCGTACCCGATCGTATGTGCGAGAAACGCCCAAATAGCCCGTCATGGGAGTGTCATGAAATGATGCAGGACAGTGGAACGCAGGTGCGCTGGAATGACAGGAAGTACGTCTGATCCGAAGAAATCAAGGTTACGGCGATATAGGATCCCGTTTTTTACCAAAAGCATTCGTAGGTACGGGTCGCGAGGTGTTGACTCCAGTTTGTCAATGATGGCTCGTAAAGAAGTATCCCCACGTTGCTCTTCGCCAATGTTCACGCCTGCGCCTACCCCGCACCTCCACCAATATTGTTACGAGTAACTTATTTATTAATCTATTTATAACGCACAAAACGCGACGAGCAAGATGGCGCCAGTCCAGCATGAAACGAAAACTCACTTTGTCCTCCTCTTTCATGCAGCCGCGTTTAGCGGCTGGTATGTATCAATATTGTGCCTAATGGATAATGATTTAAGTGTGAATACACTTTATAAGCGACCCCAAACCATCCACCGCCGTCGGCGGCGTCCGCAGTCTTCTCTCTATATTTAAAAGAGAGGACTTGGCGGGCCGCAGCGCGACGCTCTACCGAATAAGCCACGGACGCGACGCTGATATCGGTGTCAGTGACGCGCCTTATACCCCCTTCCCTTTGCTCGCTCCTCCGCTCTCCTCGCTCGCTGCAGCTGTGCGCGCACCCCTCTCTCTCGCGCGCCCGCCTTCTCTCTCAGTCTCCCGTCGAGAGCGGGTCGTGAGGGGGAGTAAAGTTAAAATCCGTTGGCATTCGCCAGTGAGTTAACGTAAACTCCCCCGTGTGATCAAATTGCGATTCCCAGGAACCATTACACCATAAAGTCACCATAGTGTGATTCATAAATATAATAGTGCGAATTAATAAATACCCCTCATAGCATCACCCCGTGTATTCGCACTTAACCATGTTCACCCTCAGGGAAATGCTTGGGATTTTTTTTATTAGCGTAAAGTTTATTGTTCAATGACCCACGTTGTATCTAACTGAACAATGCAGAACTTCAGGGAAATATGGAAGTTTGAAGAGCTGTAAAATCTTGAGCAAAAGGTGTCACTGCAGCGCGGACGTTTCGACACGTAAGCTTGCCTTCTTCAAGGCTGCAACTGTGTTTGCTTCGTAGTCTCTCCCCCAGCCCAAACAAAAAAAAAGAGAACAAGGCACTCACAGATGAAGGCACTTGCTCTCCTCCTGGTGTGCTGCTCCTGCTCTAAGTTCTTTATTCCCCTTTGTTGTTTGAGTCGGAGGAGAGGCTACGATACATAGAGATCCACTTGACGAAGTAGGAATACAGTCGCAGCCTTGAAAAAGGCAAGCCCACGTGTCGAAATGTTGGCTCTCCAAAGACACCCCATTTTCATTAATTTGTCATGACATCTTAACCCACAACTATGCCATTCAGCAGTTGACCCCACTGATCGAGCTCGAGAGCCCACCGCCCGGTCCTCCAACTCCAGTGTCTTCGTCCTCGGGTCCCAATCCTGGTGGCCCGTGTCGCCGAAGTGCCTCCTCTCCCAGCGTGGCTACACGAGCGCTCATGCTCTCCGACCTGGACTCGTTCCCTCAGCCGGTGCCACTTCCCGACGAAGCCCGAAGCCCGTCTCCCACGCTGATACTGTTCTCCGAGGTACGTTTCACAACCCACTGCCACCATCGTCAGGAGAAGTAGATTTTTTGGCGAAACTTCATCTGGTTGGGGTAAAAAATTCGCGAGAACATTAGTGGGCGCCGACCAAGGGGAAAAGTACTTAATGAAGTTTCGCCTCCCGCATAGAAGCCTTGTTGTCAATAAATGGCAAAACTCAACGGCAGTGAGTTTATATGCTGTTTAGTAAAATACCTAATGTGAGGGCGTATATCGCATTATTATTTTGTTCGTTGCGAATCAAAGTGTGCGTGTTATCTGGATATGCAACGATTTAAGATAAAGCTGTTCACTCTTATTTCTTTTGTTCGAAGGGATGCAGGCGTTACCACGACTAACATTGTGGACATCCCGTGAAGCTTGTTGACATTATTGTGAAGATCGTGAAGTCTTATGACGTAATTCTCGCTCTTCGGGATTTTCTTGTAACCACACTTCACACGGGGGATACAGCACGCCCCACTAAAAAGCTTCTTAGGTCGTACAGGCCGATGTTCCCGTTCACGCAGGTGTTCTTATGTTTAAGCGGGGGACGTGAGCTACCTGCGTACCATATGGATTCATGACACATACGAAGGCATCACTGATGCCTGGAACGTCAGGTACAGGCACCCGCTTGAAGCATTCAGCCGTTAAAGTTTAGCGGGGATAGCCCAGATGCCGTTGAATGGATGGGACGAAGAAAACAAAGTATACCCAGAAGGCACGTCACGCTGGGCGTCTTCGACGTTCAAGTAGTGGTCTTACTTTTGCGAGTACACGGTTCCCGCGCTTTTTAGCAACGTGCACACCACATTACGGCACGTACTCAAACACACAAAAAAATGTCTTTGTGTTTCGAAGTCAACGTTGCCTTCAACACACGAAGGCTTTTATTGACTTTTGTTATGAATCTATATTATTACACCTTTACTGTGAACCAGGCTCTGGTGTGGGATTCGAAACGTCTGTTAGTATTAAACCAATAGCCATTAAAGAGCTTGTTTTGCAGACATTTCCGCGTCGGCGCCGTTGATTTTGAGCGAAATGTTACCATCTATGTCCACGACCACGGAGATCAATCAAGAGTTCTCCAAAATTTGTATTTCGCTCGGTCGGCATTAACCACTGCTTACACCAATCATCATCAGCCTCGTATTACCACTGCAGGACAAAGATAGGACCTACGTTTCTCAGACTGCTTGCAGTGGCCATGTTATTCCCGCAAATTCCTCAATCGCATGTGCCCACATAATATCCTGTGAAGAATACATGGTGGGCAGGGTGATGTTAGATTTGTATTTTAAAAGAAACACGATGCTGACAGCAAAAACCGGTGGCGAGAGTGTCCATGTAACGGCAATTGCAGTAAATGTAGTCTTAGTCCTACTCTTGAGAGACGAGATGTAGGTGTGACAGCTTGGTTCGAGTTTTATGTTTTCTGCCAAGCACTACGGTTTAAACAATTCATAGAAAGATTAGAATAAAGCGTGCTATTTGAAGTGTTAGCCAGATTCTACCTCAAGGATTCATGAAAAGAATAGAATGAAGTGCGCTATGGTGATTTTGGGGCGTTAAACACCACATATCACTAGAATGCAGTGTGGTATTCGAGGTGGTCGCCAGCAAATGAGGGGCCGACACCGAAACCCATGCAGTGTGGTGACCTGGAAGACGGCCCGTACGAAGAGATTGACTCGGCGGGAAGTCTCTCAGACTCGGCCACTCTTCCCGGTTCAGACAGCGGCGGCGGTGGCAGTCCGGCCAGCGGTCGCCTCATCGACATCTCTCAAGAGGACGACGTTCATCTACCCAAGGACAAGGACTCGAGCGCGCCGGCATCGCCTGAGAGATACCTGCCACCGGGACCCGGCTCAGACGGTACATTTTAAAATATTTTCCCGATTTCTTTGTTGCTTTCGATTATCTTCCGATTAGTGAAATATAGTCAGCTTGCGTCACCGACGTTTTCGGTGAGCCCCCGCTATATTCGCCTATTTATTATGGCGCTCAACTACTTACCCGCAGGTGGCGGGATCGTACCCCGGCTGCGGCGGCCTCATTTTCGATAAAGTCGAAAATGCTAGAGGTTCGTGTACTTAGATTTAGATGCAGCTAGGTTATATAACCACAGGTTATTGGAAGTTCCCCAGCCCCCCACTATGGCATCTGTTATAGCCGTATCGTGGTTTTGGGACGTTACATCATACCAATAATTACTTTTATTGTATTTTTTGGCGGTAATTCAGCAAACGATGGCGCTCGGAGGGCATAGTCGGTGTGACCACGCATTTCGTGACTTGAGCGCAAGGGCACAGCTAGCGAGAAAATATAAGGCATTATTTATTTATTTATTTATTTATTTAATTATTTATTTATTTATTTATTTATTTATTTATATCTGTAGGTATTTATTTGCGTGTTATGTTATTTTTTATAAATCCTGTGGAAAAAATCTTGAAACATGGCGAGCAATATAAACACGATACACTATAATAACAAAGTGAAACAACGTTGCATGTTGTTTTTACAAGTTTTTTTACCTACAAAACGGAAGGTCACGGCAATAAAACAAAAACTATTGAACAACTTGGTCATACTACAATAAGGAGTACATGAACGGCAGTATTTGCACAAATGGTCAGGAGCTTCGGGGAAATGCTTCCGTTAGTTTATTCCAAAGCTCTGTTTGTGCTTAAAAGGAGTATCTAAATGTGTCAGTCCTTGCGACGATTGGGGTTAGAGAGTAACGATAGTGGGGCTGAGTGAAAATGCTTAACAAGGAAAATATGTATGCTGCAGAGTCTAAAGATAACTTATGAGCAACTGTCTAACAGGAAACTCTAGTCGGCTTTTTTTCTTCGAGTTTTCACAAATTTATTACCATTTGCAATTAGTTATGCTTTGCGGTAGTCGATTGACATGAATTTACTGTAACTAATTCGGACGGCTTTTTCAGTGAAGTGCTTGTAGGTTTCATTGTTAATTTTTGTTTAGGGATTACAAACCATAAAGGCGCCTTCACGTTCTTCAGAATTAGGTAAAAACAGATGGAGAGTCTTGAGCTCAGGGCGGAGAAAGCATATAATCTAGAAAGAGGCCAAGAAAATGTTATTTGTGTGTTAATTCTACGATAAGGTACTTGTTACCACTAGACCTAAGTATTTATAGCAGGCTACTTAAAGCAAAGGAGTTTCAGCGAAATTGTATGTGTAGTAGAAGGGGGCCATTTGAGGGTTATGGAAAAAATGCGCAAATCTATTTTCATTAAGAAGCGTTCCCCACCGTTGACATCATTTCGACACATTGCCAAAGTTTATTATTGCCGCGCCCGAGGCAAAGAATGAAGACGATGTGCGCGCCAACAGCCTCGTGAAAAGGGAGACGGAAGAAGACGGCGTGCTTTTGTGTTGCTCTCCTGCTCTTGGCTCCTGCATAAAAACACACGCCGTTGGTTCTCAGACTCAACGTCTCGGTGCACTGCTTACGTTGAACCGCGACACTGGTGGAGGCGCTGGGTTGCAAGCCTGCCGATGCTCAACACCCCATCTGAGAGCCGTACATCAAGTCCCGACACGCAGCCACCTGTTACGACACCAGTGCACCGCTTCAGTCGGTGGTTGCTAGGCCTATCTCCTGAGCTGACCTCCTTCGATGAACATCCTACTAGGAATTACGTACCTCTATCAATGGCCTCCGCCTGCCAGCCACAGTTGGTCCAAGAGATACAAGGCAGCCCCGTTGCCAATCCAGCCCCGCTTACACTTCTTTAGCCGCTTGTGCCTGATCGCTTCAGTGGTGCCCCATATGAAGATGTTGAAGATTGGCTTGCGCATTACGAACGCGTTGCCGACATCAACCAGTGGAAGGCTCAACAGAAGCTCGCCCGCACGTACTTCGCTCTCAATGATAGCGCTCACACGTGGCTTGAGAATCGAGAAGGCCGTATATCCACATGGGATGAGGTTTGTCAGCAGCTGATTGACACCTTTGGTAGCGTCGACCGTCGAGAGCGGGCTCAGCAGTTGCTCGAGTTAAGGCTTCAAAAATTTAACGAAACTCTGGCAATGTTTGCTGAAGACCTGACGCGCCTATGTCGTCGGGCTGATCCCAAGATGTCCGAGGAAAAGAAGTTGTGCTACCTTATGCGCGGCGTGAAAGAACAACTGTTCGCTGGACTTGTTCGCAATGCCCCAACTACCGTGGTCGATTTTATAAGACAAGCGCTGCCATTGAGCGTGCTCTGCACCAAAGATCGAGGCAATATGATCGCTCGTGCACTACCACTCCAATCAACGCCGCTTCAGTGACTCTGGACAATCAGGGCTCCCTACGTGACCTGATCAGAGATAATGTTCGAGAAGAAATTCAGAAGCTTTGGACTCCTCCAGTGGATACACCAGTGACCGCCGTTGCCGCAGTCGTTCGTGACGAACTTAGGCACGCTTTTTCAGCAGCTGATCTCAGTCGCGATCAGCGTCAACTGAGTTACGCCTACGCTGTCCGCCATTCACCACCCGTCCCGCCTATTACATCATACAACCAGCCACCTACAGCCGCACCTTCATCGCAACCATTGCAGGAGGCTTTCGAACGTCGGCCCGTGTCTCCGATGTCTCCATGCCACCAGTCACCACTTGCCGCACCATACTCACCCCCACGAGAGGACATAGGACGCCCACAATTTCGTAGAATAGACGCTTGGCGCACCTTCGATCGGCGCCCTCTCGGCTTCAACTGTGGTGGTGCCGGCCATATAGCTCGCTATTGTTGGTACCGCGACACATCGCTTCGCCCGTCTCTGCCAGGGTATGACGGTTGCCGTGCCAATGCCGACTACATTGTTCGCCATGACGACCCTGGTTTTCGAGGACCTTCAACAACGTGGTCTTTTTATCACGAGTCGCTTCCTAATCACCAGCCCGATTCCACTCACAGGTCACGCTCTCCATTCCCTGCTCAGACATCGTCACCGATTCGACGTACTTTTGCTAACCTTCGGAGAACAAGGTCGCCCAGCCCTTACCAGGGAAACTAAAGGCGGTGACCCCCCGCGGTAAGGTCGCAGCCCGACCACAAGACGATAAAAATTCCCCAGTACGGCTGCTACAGGATGACTCGACGCCGAAGAATATTAACAACGACAAAATGGTGAGCGCCGACCTCAATGTAATTATTGATGGAGAGCAAGTGACGGCCTTAGTCTATACGGGTGCTGATTTTTTCATAATAAGTCAAAAGCTGGCTTATCATCTTAGCAAAGTAAAAACCCCATGGACAGGACCACATATAAGAACAGCGGGTGGTCAATTGCTGCTCCCTACTGGAAGATGCACAGCAAGAATCAGCATAGAAGATTCTTCTTTCGTCGAGACTTTCATTGTTCTCCCAGAGTGCTGCAAAGTTTAACTATTGGAATGGACATTCTCAGGGAGAATGGCGCAATAATCAACATCCCGGACCGCGTGATTTCATTTTACGAGAGTGCTCGTCTGACTGATTCTACATCACCAGAGCACAAATCCTTTCGTCTCATAGACCACAATATAGTCGTGCCGCCTCAATCATGTATTCTTGATTCAGTAGCATGTGACGTACCATTCGATGGTGAAGGAGTCGCCGGCCAACTAACCTCGCTGCTTTTCACTCATGGCATTTCCGTAGAACGAGGAATAGTCAATGTCACCGACGGCCGAACGAACTTGCTGTTGACCAATTTCACCTTCAAGCGACGACACCTTCCAAAACGCACAACATTGGCACATTTCGACGAGATCGCAGATGTTTGTGACTGCTTTTCAGCACTTGAAGCAACACCTGCACAAGACCCACATGACCTAGCACTAACATTGACGTCAGCCCTAATTTAACTCAGCAACGGTGGGAACGCCTGCTTGTGCTGCTAGCCAAGTTCCACGACTGTTTTGCGTCGACCTCGAAAGTTGGCCGGACGTCCTTGACCAAGCACCGAATCATCACAGACGACACGGATAAACCCACTCATAAAATCTGTACCATGTGGCTTCAAAAGAACGAGAAGCGATAGAACAGCATGTAACAAATAAGCTTGAAGACGACGTCATTCAACCATCGAAAAGCCCCTGGGCATCACTAGTTGTTCTAGTGAAGAAGAAGGACGGCACGGCAGCCTGCGTTTCTGTGTGGACTATCAAAATCCAAATCAGGTTACAAAAAAAAAACGTGTACCCGCTTCCCCCCATAGATGATTCGATTGACAGACTTCGAAACGCACGTTACTTCTCTTCCATGGACTTAAAGAGCGGATATTGGCAAATCGAAGTAGAACCCAGGGATCGTGAAAAAACCGCTTTCGTGATGCCAGAACGACTGTAAGAATTCCAGGTTTTACCATGTGGCTTGTGCTCCGCGCCTGCTACTTACCAGCGTTCCATGGTTATCGTTCTTTCTGGGCTTAAATGGAGAGCCTGCCTAGTATACCTTGACGACGTCATTGTGTTTTCAATAACGTTCGACGAACACCTTGAACGATTGCAAATTGTCTTGCAGGCCATACGGACCGCAGGCCTGACACTCAAGCCGGAGAAATGTCACTTCTGCTTTGAGGAACTGCAGTTTCTTGGCCGTGTCGTCAGTTACGTAGGAGTTCGTCCAGATCCCGAGAAAGTTGCCGCCGTCGCACAGTTTCCAACACCATCAGATAAAAAGGCAGTGATTCGTTTTCTGGGTTTCTGTGCATATTATCGGCGGTTTATTCCAGATTTTGCGCGCATTGCGTCACCTTTAACTTGTCTCACGAGGAATGACGTTGCATTTGTTGGGGGCGATGAAAGAGCTGCTTTCAATGGCTTGCGGCAACCTCTACAAACGACCCCCGTGCTTGCCCATTTTGATGAGACAGC